TATATATATATATATATATATAGCTGTAGGACAGCCCCATTCTTTCGTTAGTGTACTGTTAGACCTCTATATATGCTTACATATATAGGCCTACTTCTTATGAAATAAAATACTACATAACAGTGTAACATTAGTATAACCTACAGTTATTCTATATAATTATTTAGGTCTACATAGAGGCAAACACTCCCACGTCCCTATGAGGGCGTTTATTTTCCTGTCGAATAAGCACCACCATATGAAGCGAGTAAAAATAATGCGAGTAGCACAATCTTTCATATGCACTATTCTATCCCACATATTTTACTCTAGTAAAATTAAAATATTGCTGATATGATATAAACTTTCAGTTAATCCACTTACAAGGTTCGTTGCAGATAGGAGCCCGATAATTTTTCTGGTATTTCCCCAATCACTATTGTGACATTTTTTTTTTTATAAATTTGCGCAAACTCGTTACTATTAGTACTATAGTAACGTTCAATAATAGGATCACAATGTACCATTAATTTAATGAACATAGGAGGTTAAAGCCCAATAAACATAAATACATTACAATATCTATTATAATGCCCAAACGTATAAAGCTTTTTATCACTTTCACGTCATACAGTTAGCAGAAGCAGTGGCGGATCTAGGATTTAGCAATGGGGGTGGGATGGATAATGCGACTTGCGAAGCACCAAGGGTGGGGCGGGAGCGTGATTTTGAGAAGGGCGCAGATCTGTTTCGAAAGGTGAGGAGGACATTTTGTGAGGCCACACCCAGCTCAGGCCCACGATGGTTGGGCCTGAGGTGCGAAAATTTTAGGAAATAATAGCTCTAGACAGTGGTGGTGCCAGGACATGCCCGACGGAGGGGCTAAAGGCCCCGACGGGGGGGGGCGTGGCTAGTGGAGAGAATCGAGTATCACTTGGCTGGGGGCCAGGGGGCCGCATAGGGCCGCCGGTGGGGCTTCAGGGGGCTTCGCCCCCTGGAAGCCACGGATATTTGATGAATTATGACGAATTTTTATTACTTATTTGTGATTTATTGTATATTGTATTTATTTAGGCATTGAGTTAGTATAATATGAATTCATGTAGGCTATGCTTTCTAATGTTGAAATCAGCTTCCAAAATCAAAACATTTTGAATAAAGCAAGAAACAAAGAGTATGCAATGTAACCATCTAATTTATTTTCAAACCCTCATTCTTGAAAGTGAATTTCTATATTTTGGAAATTTTGCATGAAACCTGTCAACCACGCTGTCATGGTCGAGGTTGCTTCACCTATCACGATGTATTCCAACCATCTCGAGGCTACCTAAATGAGCATTTGTCATAACAGAACAAATTATTTTTAGTTAGTCTCATTGAATTATTATTATTATTATTTTTTTTTTATTTTTTTTTTTATTTATTTTTTTCTTTTTATATTTTTGATTGTAAATTCAATCTACCCCCCAGCCCCCTCTGGCGCCACCACTGGCGATGAAGCGCCAACAAATTTCTCATGATGATTTACCGGCGATTTTCGGCAATCATAGATATCTAATTAATATGTGTGATGTACTATAGAAAATAAATATTAAAAACATTGTTTTTGATGTACTTAATTTAGGCCTGTAGCGACTGTTAATGTAAATTCCACGCATAATGTGACCTTAACATTCACCCTTGCATAATCTGAACGGGCATCCCGAACAACCTAGGCGTTCAAATAAAAATGTTTTTGATATATTTCTTTCTCATTAAAGTAAAAATTTAAAAAAATACTCAAATAATACGCTGTGTAGAAATTACAGAAAAATTCAAAAATCCAAAATGTTTCCAAATAATTTCAAAATAAAATTCGATATTTTTTAAAGAAATTTCTCCAAAAATCACAAACAAAAAAAAATTAATTAAGAAAAAATAAAAATTTAAGCCCAAAATTAAATTAAAAAATCCAAAAGGAACCATGATTAAGCAATTTCACTATGATTAACCAAGTTCACTGGGATAAAACCAAATGTACATTTAGTGCTTTAAATAAGGCGAGACTTTTTTTATACCTTGTTTAGCGAACCCTCCGATTCCGAAATTGTGGATTTCAAAATAGAAATAAAAATAAAATTTTATTATAAGTGTGTTAGTGTACGAGCCGCCATGAAAAAATGAAAAAAATAAAAAAAATAAAAATAAAATTTTTTCACGGAACTCCATCTCCCGCGGGGGGTTCGGACGTCAACGTCAACCCTTTTTACATTATGCGTTAACCTTTTTTTTTACATTATGCGTCGTTTTTACATTATCAGTTGTCACAAGGCCTACCTCTTCAAAGCCATTAGTCCACACAAGGTGGGAACATTTGGGGAAATAGTACCCCTAGATTACCGAAAATGACACTCTTTTATAACATTCATCATTATCGATCAAATTAATCGCTGTGATGTTCCATTGAAAATAAAACTCAATTGTCATTGATATATTTTTAATTTACTTTACCATGTGCCGAAAACTAATCTTCTTATTATTATTACACTTTTTCTTATACTTTCTCGCAAAAAAGTCGTGTAATTCAGATGTTTGTGGGCAGAGATAGAGTACCGGTTGTACAGCACATTTTCGTTAAAACCTGGGTCCTTTATGCAGTTCATTTCAGCAATTTTCAGGCATCTTCTTGAGAAGAAATTATCACATTGCGGACGGAAAGTAAGGGACCAGCCTCCACCCCTTAACAATTTTTGGGACGTTGCCACCGTCCCTTATTGATCATGGGTTTAGGGGAGGCTTCCCCTTCCATTTGAGATTTTAGGGAATTAGTAGACGGCTAGGCGCTCTTGGATGATATCTGAAAAGAAGTCATGCTTAAAATAGAAAGTGTGTGTTTTACAAGAGTAGCCTATACTAAACATGTATACATGAGAAGCACACACACAAGACGAATGACTATATCTTTTTTCGAGGTCACCGAAGGGGGGTGGCTAGCCACTCTATTCACCCCCGCCCTAGATCTGCCACTGAGAAGAGTGCAAGATAGTTAGCTGCCATTAAACCAATAATAAGCATTAATTTAGTCGGATCGGTATAGCTCTATAATGGCGTCATTAAGTTACAAAAGCCAATGAACTACCGCTATGGACAACTTATTAACTACATAAAATGTCTCAATCAATACGAATATAACACTTTCTTGTAAAATGTGCAGTGTTTAAATATCCTCGCAAAAACACAATCGTTGCTATGGTACATGTAATTCTTCATCCGGTTAGATTTCTGTACGTACCCATAATACTTGTGTTATGTTGACATTGAATTTATATTGCGTTTGAAAAGGAATTGTAATTTAGACTCAATTTGGGCATAAATTAACTTGTTTTATTGTGGTTTTAATCGAATAATATTAATTATTACCCGTGTTGTTAAGCGCCCTAAATGTCAAATTAACAAATCGATTTTTGTTATTTTTTTTCAGTTGGTCCATTACAATAGACCCATAAAAATACATGACTATATAGGCCTATTGTGACCGATGATGGAGGAAGCATGCGCGCCTATACAGAGTGCCTGTGGTGATAATGGCGCTTCACGTCAACTTCCAATGCTTTCTGTTGACTTCATGTCTCGAGATGACTTCAAAGCTAGCAAGAATCTGCGTCTAACACGCAGTGGACAATATACTATAGAAAAAGAAAAATTGGATCAGGACGTTTGGCAAAGAAAGCCTCCGGATTTTAGGCCGCAAACATATAGACCCTCGCCACCAAAGAGGAACACTCGAGAGAGTATGCAGCCCTGGAAGTATGGTACCTTTCCCGGGACCTCAAAGCCTAAACCACTTGTCAGCTACGAGTTGAAATTCCCAAAATTGTTACAACCGGCGCGTCCAAAAAGTCGCCAATTCATTAATAAATTCAAAATAATTGATTCAGACGAAGCCAAGCAACTGTTCGTAAAAGAGGGGATGTACCCAAGAGAGGCTTATCAGATGCCAAAGAAGCATGACTTTAGAGGCGTGAGTATATTTACACTTTATCAATCACAATTAAAATATAATTTACGTTACCAAGTAAATTTTATATCAAAAGTTCCGATAAAAGAAAGTTTAAGATTGAGTGTTGTTATTCCTCTATAAATAGCATGATTTATTTATTTTTCTCTTCATGTAGTATCCACCAATTGGCTCTTTAGGACTTTCAGAATTCCGAACAGATATGGAAAGTGATCCATATGGTTTAAAATTTAAAACAGCCAATAAAGACGTCAGTAAGTAGTTCTTTAAAATAATTCAAAGCGTGCTCCACTCGGGAATATTTAAATAGTCATATTTAGCCTATTTGATGAAGTTACGACAATATAAAATAATATTTGGTGGTTTTGTTTAGCATTCTTTACTATTATAACAGAATCACCCTATAGTAATGTATATTGTAGTAAAATCTCATACGGTATTAAAATCGTTTATTTTTATTTATAGTTTACGGTTTGGTGCAGCCGATATCTGATCGATACATGGGTCGACAGATGGGTCGTGGTCCACTAACTCAAGGTCCGAAATGGGATTCGAAGCTTATCTTACCGAAAGCGAAATGGCCGATTAGAAGTGCAGAATTTTCGGTAAGTTTTGATATACAGTCAATTTATATTGTAAACTGTGAATGAATTCTTACTGTAAATCATGCTTATGATAGTCGAATATATTAATAATTGTAAGCCATATAAAATATTGGGGCAGAGGGAATTTGGAAAATAATTTTTTATTTCATTTTTTTATATTAATTTTCCATACCGATTAATCTGACCAACGTCAGGTCTGTCATTTAAAGGTTAACAACAACTACGCGATCTTTCAATATGATGCGGGCCTATATTGCATTAATAAGAAAATCAATTAATGTATGTTTAGTCACTTGATATCTGACCCATATGAAATCAACCATTCACATTGCGTTCCATCCGCCTTTTGATCCCCAGCCACCTTCACATAGGCCTACTATCCACCCCAACCCCATACACTTCCCTTCATCCTCTTTTCCTGACCTTATCACCCTAGACATATCCTCACCCTATTCCCTTACCAAGGCAATCATCTACCTTCCTATCCATCTCCCCAATCCCTAGGCCTATAGTTCACTCATTCCCATCCATGCATCCACCCACTGAAAAAAATACAACTGTAAGTTTAAATAATGTGCTAATTTATTATTTTATGATTTTATTCGTTTTTCAGCGTTTTCGACAACAGAATCGATCCCCATCCGTGGCTTTAATGGATCGTATAGAGGAAACATTGAATAATCGATGGACAGATGAAACTCGGGAGAGAAATGCGAGAAGGAAGGAAAGGCAGCAAATTGAAAAAGAACGGAGGTTTCGCGAAGAAATAGCTAAAGAAATGTCAGCGATGAGGTGACACAACATCAAAAGTAGGCTCACTGAAGATGTACTTATATGTAAATATACATAAAATAATCCAAAGGTGCTAAAATGTCAGTGGTATATTAGGCCTATATATGTGAGTCATACATCGCAGACTACAAGAAGTACGTGAAGGCGAGCGCACACTGCGCCGACGGACGGTCAGCCGACGCGATTAATGACGATCAGTTCCGAAGCACTGGGCCCCAGTCTGTAGGGGCCAAAGAGGGCAATCCTATTAATAAGCAGCATTCCTTTAACAAAGCCTTGACATTATGGTCAGAAGCACCAAAAGCTGGCAAATTAAAACAATGTAGTATCACGGTTTTAACTCTGAAATAATGAAAAAAGGGTCTAGAATTTACAGAGAATTCGAATTAAATTATATTAATAACAGGTTACGGTATTGTTTGATATTCCAATGTGAAGGGCCCTAATAATCCATTACTAAATGCATGGGCCCCCAACACTTTCTCGCCCCCATGAGTCGTTGTTACGCTACTGGTTCATAGTGAGTGGAGATGGATGATTTGTCGATGGTCCTTCAATCTAAGAATGTAAGATCACCACGGACAAAAACAAAACATTTCTGATGCCACCATATCTTATCCTTTTTCTCTTTTACAATATTGTTTTGTAGGTGAAGATTCATCATATTTTTTGCCATTCTCTACTCAAACTTATGCATCTTATAAAATACTGATGAATATATAAATTATAGCTTATGGTGTTACTGTGATGTTAGGCCAACCGATAGTGAAGACAAACATAATAAATATATATGTTGTGAGATCCCGTATGCTCTCCAAAGAACCAATAAATATTTTTTCAGATACCTGGGTAATTAAAACGTAGATGACGCTCACACATAATATTAGCGTAGACATACAGTAGGCCTGTAGGCCTATGTAGGACTATATCAAGAATATTTATTTGATTGCCCTTGTTTATTTTAAAGTAGGCCTATATTTCTCCCAACTGACTCATTAAAACGTAGATGACGCTCACGCATAACATTAGCATAGACATACAGTATTTATATAAAGAATATTTATTTCATCACCATGGTTTATTTAAAAACAGGCATATATTTCTCCCATTAAATTTGCCACGCAACGAACCATTGGACATTTTCTACCAGAAAATAATTTAAAAAAAAAAGTGCACTAAATTTACTCCATAAATCATTATTAGGCATGTATTTCCTGTTTGGTTGAGTAAAGCCAAATTATACCTCTATGGCCAAGCATGGAGGAAGCAAATTCCATGGGCCAAGTTAAACTCAATCATGACTCAACTAACATAATGACCACACAAATGTTCTGAATTCAAGGACGTGGTTGGCCAAAACCTACGTGGTTGACGCACAGGACGCTGGACGGTCCTGACGTCACCGAGCAAATCGAAAGCTCTCTATTCATTGTTAGTTTCATTTATTTATTTATTTATTCAGGTATAAAAATATAAAACAATTACAAACAATAGCCGAAGCTGAAGTGGTTTGCTTCACAAAATTTGTTCACAATATTAAAACCTTAAAACTTATTCACCATATCAAAACCTCAAGTAGACATAACACAGTAAAATGTTGATAAGATAAGATAAAAAAAAAACATAAGAAATTCAGTTCATTAAAAACAAAATTAAGTCAAATTATTATCATAATTATAGAAATAAAAAGGTCACATTATTAAGTTATCATTATTATCATTTTAGTTACTAGTGTTTAAATTATGTTTATATGTTATTATACAGTAATATATTGCACTTTTCCGTTATTGGTACTTTAATACATTATTAATTTTATTAATTTATATACAGGTAAATATTGCAATTATCATTAATTTATTATTATCATTATTTTACAAATACTGTAATTAGGCCTATAGGTTTTTGCAGTAGGAATGAAGAAAAAGAATTAAAATTGTAAAATTATAAAATTAAAATGCACACACACAACACACACACAAAAATAACAATCATTCAAATGGGGTACATTATGAGGAATTGACTAATTAGTTCGGTCAACTATAAAAACTTGTATTCAAGAGGCGAATTACGAAGGTATTGTAGATTTTTTAATCTCTCTGTGCGCCATTTTGGCTCAATAAGTAATGAAGTACTGCTTTTCCTGAAGGAAAAAGTAGTGTAAGTAACATTGGGAGGTAGTAGACGCCTAGGATGCCTATCAGATTTCAGAAGTTTTTCACCAAATTTCAGCAATAGTATGTCACTTCTTGATTCGAGAGAATAAGAGTTAGTAGAGATCTACTATACGAGTGGTAGCATTGTCCTAAAATAATTCGACAAGCCCTATTTTGGACACGTTTAATTTTCAGACATTGATATTTGGTGATAGAGCCGATGCCAAACCTCAGAGCAATATTCTAACAAAGATCTAATAAAGCAACAATATATATTTTCATATTGACCAAACTATCATTAAAGGAAATAGAATCATCGCCTACATTAAATCAATTATATATCGTTTTGATAATTTTGATAATTTTAATAGAGTTTATTATGGCGAAATACTTTAGAAAACCATTGCTCTTCCAAGTATTAACTATATGCTTGTTCTGTGTGGATTAGCAAAAGCCAAAAGGACATTGACAAAATTGAGTCTTTCCAACTTCAAATGGCGCGATATATCCTTAAAGCTTCCAAAAACACACCAAAAGTAGCTCTATATGGGGACCTAATTTGGGTGCCAATAAAAGTAAGTCAAGACATACTTAGAGCTAAATACATTAATCATGTAATGAATTTAGATAAGCATAGATGGCCAAACTTCATGCTTATACATCCCTTAGTCTAAATAGTATTGCTGAGCCACGCTATAAACTGCTCTCTAGTTTCATTAAGACTTGTACTGATATAAGGTTGGAAATTGGTTCAATCTTTGAAAATTCATGCCTTGGAATTGCATCCGATATGTGTTGGATTAACGATTTCAAAGAGTTAATTCTTATATTCATATGTTTCTTTTTGGAATAGAGAAATGTTAAGAAAATCGTCACTTTCTGAATATTCTTCAATTAAGAGCAGTCTGAATATGGAAAAAATATTTACTTGACCATACAGATTTTATGGGTGCAAGCCTAAAATTCAAAATGAGGTCAAATACTCTTCCATTAGAACACAGGACCTGTAAATGGGTAAATAGTGATGGCATTGCCAATTGTGTAATAATGGTGTTGAAGATATAAAACATTTTTTATTCACATGTAATCAACTAAACACCATTAGAGTTGAAGAATATAATGTTTTAGAAAATAAGCTAGTTAATACTGATTGCCTACATGTATGGGAGTATTTTATCACCAGTGACCTTTGTACTAAATTGTATATTGTTCTCGGGAGAGAGGTGCATTGTGACTATATTTATGATGTTCATGATATTTTTAATAAATTTTGCAAATCGTATCGTTAAGAGAGCATGGAAGCTTAGGAATGAGTAATTAAGTTCTTAAGGTGCTGGTTGTTTAGAGACTGTCTATTGTACTTCAGTTCACAAGAGTTCAAAATATTCTGAAGCGGGATGAGAGGAAGGGTTTGCTCTGTTGCGGACGATGGTTTCAGGGTGACATTACTCTGAGGGAAAAGAAGATCTTTTGTAAGAGTATGTTTTGTGTTCTTGTGACGGTCATAAAGACAATGGATGGCTCCTACTGTAAGGCACTGGGTTTCATTGTTGTTAGCTGTTTTGACTTTTTAAAACTTTTTTACACTTTGTACAGCTGTAGTGACGGGTCTCTCTTTTGTAGTAGCTGTGTGGTAGTGCGTTCTTTGTTGTAACTTCTCTGTTGCGATCAGGTTTTTGGCTGATGGGTGTCACTGGTGGGCGTTCCGTTTTCTTTACGAATGTTGCAGGAGAGAGACGTGTCATCTAGAGACTGATGTTCTTCTTGTCATAGAGAAAATAGATCTTGTTGTTTAATGCTTTTCTTTTTGATTGTAATTTTTATGTTTTTTCTTGTTGTTAGGATGCACCACCCCTGTGGTTGAGTGCCACTGATTCAAAAGTGAATATCCAAATAAATTATTATTATTAATTATTATTATTATACTTTAACATTGTCCTTGACTGGAGCATTGGCTCTTTTTAGAATACATAAGGAAAATAACCTTTTTAAAGGGTCTTGAAACCATCCCTAAAACATGGGACTCCCAAGAAAGGTTGTCCTGAATGGTAACCCCAAGAGGTTTTAGGCTATATGGGAGACTTTCTCTATACACCCAAACAGCATCACTGTCTAAGTATGTGTATCCAAAACAAGCAAATCAAATTTAGTTTAGGCCGATTATCATTTTAATATTTTATGATAATGTCATTAGACCTAAAAATAAATGAGATAAAAATAAACTTCGGGCGAAGTAAAAATAAAATTTAATTTATTGTATGCAAAACAGGCGAACTTAGGTATATTATAATTTATTTTTACATTTGCACTATAGGCAATAGTAAACTTTGGATCACAAAATGAGCAAAACAATCTACAAAGTTTTTCATTAAAATGCAGTATTCAATTGGAAATCCACTCATAACAATGACAACAACAGTTAACTAAATATTGTGCACATTTTTGAGCTATTACAATATAAAATGGCTGCCATTTTCCATTATTTTAGCTTTTTTAATAGGCAATAATAAAATTTGGATCACAAAGTGAACGTGTCCAAAAAAGATAATAACCGATCTGTGACTGTAAAACGAAAACGTGTGATAGAACTAGTTATATGCAATTGCCATTATGCTGTTAATGGTTATTACCAGTGGCGTAGAAAAGTATTTTTCATTGGAGGGGATGATTAGCGTGTTAGCCAGTGTCGTAACAGGCGGGGGGAGGGGGCAGGGAAAAACTGCCCCTCCCCTGACGGTTTTTACCGGGCTGACCAAGCCGTCGTACCGGGCTGGGTAATAAGAGAAAAGAAAGAGGGGAGAGGGAGGGAAAGAGAAAGCAGAGGAAAAGAAAAGGAAAGATAAAGAAAAAGAGAAGAGAAAAATAAAGACAAGAATAAAAAGGAAGATATCATAATGACCAGACTCACAACACCCTGCAACCCCTTCTCCACTTCAGAAACTTTTTTGATCTATGCTGCCCGATGGCGTAACCACTGGGGGACAAGAGGAAAACTCTTCCCCACCCCTTTATAAATGCCTTTTTCATCCCCTGAAAGTGCCTAAAAACCTCAAGTTTATTGTTAAAATGGGCCAATTTCCTCTAAAAATTGCACATTTTAGGGAGTTTTGATCAATTCCAACGA